GGGGGGGTAAGAGGTGGCAGGGGAGGTCTCCACTGAATAGTGCAAATTCTTATGGGTGGGTTCACACAGCCGCACAGTGCTTTTCTATGGCATCGGCATTGGACCTGTGCGGATAGACTCCAGTCACTGCAGCTGGTGTGAATGAGTCCTAAAATATATGTAAACCCCGAGGAAATGCTAACCATAGACAATCGCCATGCGTTACTGTTTTCACCTTTTTTCAGCATTTCAGAGTGAAAACGTCTTTTGAAATGACATAAACATGTGAAAGTGTAGATGATATTTGGTTTTCTCAAGGGGGATATATACGATGTATGGGTGATGTGACACATGATGGGGGGATGTATACGATGTATGGGTGATGTGACACAGGATGGGGGGATGTATACGATGTATGGGTGATGTGACACAGGATGGGGGGATGTATACGATGTATGGGTGATGTGACACAGGATGGGGGGATGTATACGATGTATGGGTGATGTGACACAGGATGGGGGGATGTATACGATGTATGGGTGATGTGACACAGGATGGGGGGATGTATACGATGTATGGGTGATGTGACACAGGATGGGGGGATGTATACGATGTATGGGTGATGTGACACAGGATGGGGGGATGTATACGATGTATGGGTGATGTGACACAGGATGGGGGGATGTATACGATGTATGGGTGATGTGACACAGGATGGGGGGATGTATACGATGTATGGGTGATGTGACACAGGATGGGGGGATGTATACGATGTATGGGTGATGTGACACAGGATGGGGGGATGTATACGATGTATGGGTGATGTGACACAGGATGGGGGGATGTATACGATGTATGGGTGATGTGACACAGGATGGGGGGATGTATACGATGTATGGGTGATGTGACACAGGATGGGGGGATGTATACGATGTATGGGTGATGTGACACAGGATGGGGGGATGTATACGATGTATGGGTGATGTGACACAGGATGGGGGGATGTATACGATGTATGGGTGATGTGACACAGGATGGGGGGATGTATACGATGTATGGGTGATGTGACACAGGATGGGGGGATGTATACGATGTATGGGTGATGTGACACAGGATGGGGGGATGTATACGATGTATGGGTGATGTGACACAGGATGGGGGGATGTATACGATGTATGGGTGATGTGACACAGGATGGGGGGATGTATACGATGTATGGGTGATGTGACACAGGATGGGGGGATGTATACGATGTATGGGTGATGTGACACAGGATGGGGGGATGTATACGATGTATGGGTGATGTGACACAGGATGGGGGGATGTATACGATGTATGGGTGATGTGACACAGGATGGGGGGATGTATACGATGTATGGGTGATGTGACACAGGATGGGGGGATGTATACGATGTATGGGTGATGTGACACAGGATGGGGGGATGTATACGATGTATGGGTGATGTGACACAGGATGGGGGGATGTATACGATGTATGGGTGATGTGACACAGGATGGGGGGATGTATACGATGTATGGGTGATGTGACACAGGATGGGGGGATGTATACGATGTATGGGTGATGTGACACAGGATGGGGGGATGTATACGATGTATGGGTGATGTGACACAGGATGGGGGGATGTATACGATGTATGGGTGATGTGACACAGGATGGGGGGATGTATACGATGTATGGGTGATGTGACACAGGATGGGGGGATGTATACGATGTATGGGTGATGTGACACAGGATGGGGGGATGTATACGATGTATGGGTGATGTGACACAGGATGGGGGGATGTATACGATGTATGGGTGATGTGACACAGGATGGGGGGATGTATACGATGTATGGGTGATGTGACACAGGATGGGGGGATGTATACGATGTATGGGTGATGTGACACATGATGGTGGGGGGATATATACGATGTATGGGTGATGTGGCACATGATGGTGGGATATATACGATGTATCGGTGATGTGACACATGATGGGGGGATATATACAATGTATGGGTGATGTGACACATGATGAGGGGATATATATAATGTATGGGTGATGTGACACATGATGGGGGGATATATACGATGTATGGGTGATGTGACACATGATGGGGGGATATATACAATGTATGGGTGATGTGACACATGATATGGGGGGGGGGTATACAATGTCAAGCTGTGGGTGATGTGACCCAGAAGAGGGGGGGGGGGTATACAATGTATATGTGATGGGAGCGCAGCACCGATGGAATTAAGGAAACGTTAGCCGGTCACATGACCCGCCCAGAGGCGGCCGGTCCAGACGGATCGGATCTCTCCTCCCCCGGTTCTTCCCCCGGTTCCCCCCTCAGTACCGCGAGAGTTCGGGCTCCGGGGGCGGAGAGAGCTCAGCGCATGACCGGCAGCAGCAGCGGGCCCGGCAGGTGAGAGATCGAAGCCCGATCACCGTCCACCTGTCACTGATCTCCGGCATCACACCCCCTACTACGCACTGACAGCTTCTACCTGGACTGATTGCACTGACATCTGTACCTGCACTGACAGCATCTGATTGCACTGACCCTGCACTGATAGCTCTGATTGAATTTAGACTTCTACCTGCACTGACAGCATCTGATTGCCCTTGCATCTGCACTGATAGCTTCTAATTTCACTGACACTTATACCTGTGCTGACAGCCCCTGATTGCACTGATAGCTTCTGATTGCACTGACACTTCTACCTGCTGATTGCACTGACACTTCTACCTGCTGATTGCACTGACACTTCTACCTGCTGATTGCACTGACACTTCTACCTGCTGATTGCACTGACACTTCTACCTGCTGATTGCACTGACACCTGTACCTGCACAGCAAGCCCCCAGTTGCACTGACACTTCTACCTACAGTGGCAGCTTCTGATTGCACTGACATCTCTTGATTGCACTAACAACTGTACCTGCACTGACAGCCTCTGATTGCACTCACACTTCTGCCTGCACTGACAGCTACTGAGCGTTCTGTCATTGCTCCTGGTTGCAGTTTCATACTGAACGCACTGACACCCGCACTGTGTCCCACTGAACGCACTGACACCCGCACTGTGTCCCACTGAACGCACTGACACCCGCACTGTGTCCTACTGAACGCACTGACGCCCACACTGTGTCCTACTGAACGCACTAGCGCCCGCACTGTGTCCCGCTGAACGCACTGACACCCGCACTGTGTCCCGCTGAACGCACTGACGCCCACACTGTGTCCCACTGAACGCACTGACGCCCGCACTGTGTCCCACTGAACGCACTGACACCCGCACTGTGTCCCACTGAACGCACTGACACCCGCACTGTGTCCTACTGAACGCACTGACACCCGCACTGTGTCCTACTGAACGCACTGACACCCGCACTGTGTCCTACTGAACGCACTGACACCCGCACTGTGTCCTACTGAACGCACTGACACCCGCACTGTGTCCTACTGAACGCACTGACACCCGCACTGTGTCCCACTGAACGCACTGACACTTGCACTGCGTCCCACTGAACGCACTGACACCCGCACTGCGTCCTACTGAACGCACTGACACCCGCACTGTGTCATACTGAACGCACTGACACCCGCACTGCGTCCTACTGAACGCACACTGACGCCCGCACTGTGTCCTACTGAACGCACTGACACACGCACTGTGTCATACAGGACGCACACTGACGCCCGCACTGTGTCCTACTGAACGCACTGACACCCGCACTGTGTCATACAGGACGCACACTGACACCCGCACTGTGTCATACAGGACGCACACTGACGCCCACACTGTGTCATACAGAACGCACACTGACGCCCACACTGTGTCATACAGGACGCACACTGACGCCCACACTGTGTCATACAGGACGCACACTGACGCCCGCACTGTGTCATACAGGACGCACACTGACGCCCGCACTGTGTCATACAGGACGCACACTGACGCCCGCACTGTGTCATACAGGACGCACACTGACACTCGCACTGTGTTATACAGGACGCACACTGACGCATGCCCTTTACGTTGCAGCCATGGCGGACTCTCTGGCCACAGGATCCCGGCGACAGTTTCCCCGAATCAGCAAATCGAGAGCTTCCACCCAGCTGCAGGTCCTCGCCTGTGACTCAGGTCAGTCTCCCCCCCTCCGCTGCAGTTGTGGCATCAGTGTCTGTAAAGTGTCTTTTTATATTGTGTACAGACACGGCGGCCTAAGTACACTGAAATCTGCGCCCGTCCCCCACAATGCACTAGGGGCGGCGTACCCTGCTCTGTTCCTGCATGAGCAGCAGGGATCAGCGGCACGCTATATACATCAGAAGGAGACGCTGTCACTGCGTCGCTTGGAAGCCGGTACAAATCTGACATGTGGCTGAGCCCTCAGTCAGCACTTTATAGGGGCCCGTTCACTCCGCAACACAGTGAAAACGCATGTGCCTCCACCCGCAGTGCGTCACATTCTTGCATGAGTTGCAACTTTTTTTTTTTTTACATGCATTCATTATTTTCTTTCACTTAAAGGAGAACTATGAGGGGGGTGCTTTTCACTCACCTCATAGTTCTAGCCGACCTGTGACAATGAGACTGTCACAGGTCGGCTCAGTAGATCGGGAGGTGAGCGAACACATACCGGCGTTCGCTCACCTCTCGATCCTGTCATGGCTCTCTGCCGTGACAGGGGAGGGGCTGGATTCCCCCCTCCCCGATCCGCCAGCGCTGACTGGAGGATCGGACGGGGGAGGGGGCGGGTACAGCTGGCTTTGCCTCTAGATAGGCAGAGCCAGCTGTCACTCACGCAGCTGGGCGGATCCCGGCACAATTGTCAGGATCCGTTTCAGCTGCGAGGTCTCAGTATACCGCGAGCTGTAGCTCCCTATATACTGAGCTTAGGGTAACGGGAGGACGCTAGTTTGTGTCCTCCCGTTACCCTTAGGAGGACTATGGGGGAAAACACTGACCCCATAGTTCTCCTTTAAATTCTTTTTATTTATTTTTAATCAAGGCACATTTACATGCGTTTGGTTGCGTTGACACGCATGCGAAAAGATGATTTGCAATGAGCAGAGTTCAAAGGCACATCAACTGAACTCCGCCCTTCACCCATTGCTAATTATTAAGTGACCCTCAGATTTGTTAACATAAACCAATACTGTAATGTGCGCCTTACTGTAATCCATGGTAGTTTCCCTTCTCTTTGCTGCTCTTCCTTTTAAATCCTCATGTCTTCTCATGCTGGGGGAGAACTTCCCTTTGCAGCTGAGTGCCTCTTCCTGTAGTGCTGGCTCAGGTTGTGAACCTGCACACAGACACCGTGAGGCCCGGTTCCCACCTGGGCGTTTTTCCGCGCTTTCGTACTCGCGGAAAAACGCTCAAACAGGGAAATGCCATTATTTTTAATGTGCATGGTTCCCATCTGGGCATTTTTCCGCGAGTACGAACGCGCGGGAAACCGCCCTACGCCCAAAGAAGTACATGTACTTCTTTGGGGCGTTTTGGTCGGGCGTTTCCATTGGCAAACAGCCAACTAGCCCTCAGAAACGCGCGTTTGTCGCGTGGTTTTTTTACAGCGAAATAAACGCAGAGTCGGCTTTCTGCAACGGAGGCGAACTTAGAGACGGCGCCCTGCCGATCGATCCGACATAACCGGGCTGAGATAAAAGGGGAGTGGTTTTGTTCCCCCCTACCAATCAGTGGGACTCAGCTGGGTAGAGCATGACAGCTGGGACCTTATTGGTCGCTCCGGGTACCCCAGGAAGTCTTTATTGTAAGATAGTATATGATGGAGAATGGTGCCTTACCTTCACGTATACTTATAGACAAAACATTTTTATATTGCAGCTTACCAATCCCTAAATATGATGGCTGCATTCGTTTTTAGGGGTAGGCAACCTCGGCCCCCCAGCTGTGCTTTAACTACAAATCCCAACATGCCTCTGGGAGTCATGCCAGTGACCGTCAGAGTCTTTCAGTGCCTCATGAGAGTGTTGGCGTGCTGAGATTGCCTCTCCCTGGTCTAAACCTTCCCCACTCTGGTACATATGTCTTTTTGGTTTTCTCAGTGTCCCCGTTGCAGGTATCTCCCATCACTTCCTGTTCAACAGCCACTTCCTGTCAGCATGCACTCCAGAGATGGTTGCATTGCATTTGTCAGGGTGGGTTTCCTGATGGTGACAACAGTGGACCATGTCTGTGTAATGTGTGGCCACTGGTAGTCTACATCGGCAGCACGTGTGACAGGATGACAACACAGGAGCTCAACTGGGAGACGGGGACAGGATGTTTTCACCTTATAACAGGAAGTGGCTGAATAGGGAATAAAAAGGGCCACTTATAGTTTCCATGAGAAGCCCATGTAGCATTGTGACAACACAGGAGCTCAATTGGGAGACGGGGACAGGATGAACAGCACCAGGGACATGTAAAGCCAGCTAGTGGTTTTCACCTTATAACAGGAAGTGCTTGAATAGGGTATTTAAAGGGCCACTGGTAGGCCCTGCCAAGTGGCAGGGTGACAACACAGGAGCTCAACTGGGAGACGGGGACAGGATGTTTTCACCTTATAACAGGAAATGGCCGAATAGGGAATTTAAAGGGCCACTTGTAGTTTCCATGAGAAGCCCATGTGGCAGGGTGACAACACAGGAGCATAGCTGGGAGACACTGACAGGACGTTGTCACCGTAGGAATTGGCTGAACAAGGACCTTCATGGCTCGGTCACGAAAATACTATTAATATCCCAAAGCTTCTCTGTGATATTCTATTGGTGAACAGGCACCGGGGACATGTAAAGCCAGCTAGCGGTTTAATCCATTAATATCTACCCGGAAGATTTGGGATTTGAGTGAACTGATCCTTTAATTCTGCACACGGTGGAGGCATTTCTTCCAGGAGAGACAGGAGCCGGCATTCATTGGTATTTTTAGCAGGTCGGGGATGGTGACTGTGTCATCGCGCGCTCCGAGTGGCAGATCACACCACTGCTGTCTGTGAAAGGTGATAATTGCAAGGTAAGGTGGGAGCTCAGAGCCCGGCGGATCCTTTTCATACGCCGGAGACTCTGACAAAGCCGCCGGGAAGGTGCCAGCTGAGAACGTGTTTATACAAAAGATTACAGAGCACGGCTCACATGCCACCTTCTATTCATTACCATGATTAATGCTTAAAGGGGAACTCCAGCTATTCAAAAAGTTAACCCTTGCACTGAGGCTACAGCCCCCCCCCTGCAAAGGTTTACTGCTCCTTTTGGCCTAGGGCAGGGGTGGGCAACTCTCCGGCTGTGCTTCAATTACAACATGCCTCTGCCTCTTGCAGTCATGCCTGTAGGTGTCAGCCTTGCAATGCTACAACAGCTGGAGGGCTGGAGCTGCCCACTCCGGGTCTAGGGGGCTGGAATACAGACGATATATGGCGGTCAGCTCTCGCCTCTTTCAGACCTGCATGAGACATGATGACATCAGCGGGGCCTTAGACCACCGGAGCCCGGGGGAAGGCTGCGGGAACTACTCTAGCAGCCAGGCGGAACTGAGGGTCGGGTGAGTATGTGTTCTTTAATCCAGGTAGCCCCACTGCAAGGGTTAACTTTAATCCCTGGAGTCAGCGGTGTCACATGGGGGGTGCAGGCTCACACTGGGTGACGCCATCTAAGGGGGGTGACAGCAAAATGGCTGACAGTCATTTTGTTGTCACCCCTTCTGAAAAGTCCGGTGCTCACGCATGGACCGAGGGCCCGACAGCTGCAGGAGAGAGGAGAGGAACCTGGCGGCATATCTTATCCCGCCAGATAAATGTCTCCTCCTCTCTGTGCATAATGACATCATGCGCACTTAACTGCCGGCAGCCATCTCGGTCATGACGTCACACGCACTTAACTACCGGCGGCCATCTTGGTCATGACATCACGCGCGCGTGTGTGATGATGACCCAGCAGGTGACAACCTGCCACCGCACCGGGTGACACCCAGCCTGGGGAACGCCTTTGCCTGGATTTCCTTTTTAAAGCAGAACTCCAGGATTTAACCCCCCCACCCAGCCACTACATGTGGACATCTCGTTCAGCCCCCATCAGCCTATTGTATTCTGCCGGGTGTGCCACTGTCACAATACCCGAAGAGTGATTGCAGCTGATTTTCAGTTCCTGAGTCCACTACGAGAAGGTCCATTTCCTTCTGCTGGTTTGTCATTGTATTCTGTGTTATGGAGGACGCAGGAGGAGGAGCTGTACATTCCAGCATTGGACAGGGAGAAGAGAGATCTCACCCCTGCAGTGATTCCCGTAAATATCCCTTTCGTGTGGCGTCACCTTTTACGATGTTGACCGCCGCTTTATGTGTCGGCATTCCTGACATTTTTATGTACTAAGGTGAGGCTGCTACATAGGCCAAGCTTAGGCTGTGGAGATCAATCTATTAGTCCAGAGACCTATACAGGTAAAGCAGCCAAGTTGCCGGATGGCCAGTTCAGGCTTGTTTCCATAAAGCCATTTTGGCTTCTGTCTCCATAGGAATCTATTACAACAAGAGAGCAGTCCAGGGGAAGTATGCGAGAGATGGAATCCAAGAGCTACAAGGCATACCGGTAAGCACGGCACGGTCGCTTTTGCTAGTCAACTGCTGCTTGATCTTTGTGTGGCCTGCTTGGCCACCGATTGACGCTTCTTGTATTGACTACACCAGGCCTCCCTGATCAGCGAATGGAAGGAGATGTTTAAGACGTCGCCACGGGTAAAATGTCCAAGCTCCGGTTGCTGGCTGGAGTTCCCCAGCGTTTACGGGCTAAAACAGCATTACCAGAGATGCCAGGGGGTACGTACATCACTAACCTTCCAGGGGAACCTTCAGCACCTTTTAACCAGGCCATTATCCACCCACCATATTGTCCCAGCCACATATTCAAGTCACTGTCCATCCATGGTACTGCTCAGGCCATTATCCGTCCACCATATTGTCCCAGCCACATATTCAGGTCACTGTCCATCCATGGTACTGCTCACATCATTATCTGCCTTCCATATTGTTTCAGTCTCTCCCATTCCGCCATATTGAATGATGGAGTATTATAAAGTATGATCTGTGTGGATTCATTAGGAAGTAGTAGATAGATGGATAGATATAGTATTAAGATGATCTCCAAGTTGGGGGCTTCTATTCCCACAATGCATTGGGCCTTTCCCTGCTGTGAAACTACATGAGATGTGCACAGGCACCTAAGTGTAACTGGCCATTGGGAAACATACAGGTGAAACTCGAATAATTAGAATATCGTGCAAAAGTAATTGCAGTAAGTGCTGCAAAAGGGGCCCAAACCAAGTACTGAGTACATATGCATGCTTGTACTTTTCAGAGGTCCGATATTGTTCTATGTACAATCCTTGTTTTATTGATTGCATGTAATAATCTACTTTTTTGAGGTTGTGGATTTGGGGTTCTTGGGGTTTTCATGAGCTGTAAGCCATAATCATCACAATTATGACAAATCCCGACTTGAACTATCTTGCTTTGCATGTAATGAGTCTCTCTCATATATTAGTTTTACCTTTTAAGTTGCATTAGTGAAATAAATGAACTTTGCACGATATTCTAATTATTCGAGTTTCACCTGTATTGCTCTTCATTACAAGGGAAGGAGACGGGCTATATGATCTAGCTATATTCTCTGCTTTTATATGGTAGCCTTCTTTTCTTCTGTAGGTATTATATTTTGACCTAACATGCTGTCCTTCTCTGTCCAGGCTGCACTCCTGTCCCGGATGGTGGTCTCCTGCCCTCACTGCGAAGCTGTTTTCGCCTCGAAGCCTCAACTGCAGAAACACCTCAACTGGAACCACTCGGAGAAAGAAGACAGCCAGGAGAGCAGGGCGAGTCCGCCGAGCCTCCCTAGCAGGGCAAAAGAGAGGTGCAATGGATACCCCCAACAGTGCATAGCTCTTTATGAACCTCGGATGACACATGTATAGTTTTTAGAGGCTATGAGTGGAATTTATAAAAACTGGAGCAGACAGAATCTGCCTATGGCAACCAATCATCTTCACTCTTTAGTTTGTTCAGTTAAGCTTTGAAAATGAAAGATAGAAGCTGATTGGTTGTCATTGGCAACTTCTCCAGATTCTGCCTGCTTCAGTTTTGATAGGTCCCCTTTGTGAATGTGTGTGTGTATGGGAAAGGGGGGGCTACTGGCTGGATGTAGGTTGTTTCCAACCAAACATGGTGGCTTTAGGCCAAAAAAACACTTCAAGGGCAATGCTTTGCTACAGCCAACCACCAGCATAACCCTGTCAGGCTTTAATATTGTCTGTTAAACTTGTGATTTAAAGCATAACCCCAACATAACTCCCCCCGCAGCCCACCAGACACAGGTCCTTGCTCTTCTGTTCCAGCAATGGCGGTGGATGATCCTTAATCCTGAAAAAAATCTAGCAGCACAGTGATCCCAGACCAGTGCAATGGCATCTTGCCAAGGGGTGTGGCCTTGACACCCTGGGCTTACAGGAAGTGGGTTTGAATGACAGGAAGTAAAGGGGAAAAACAATCTCCCCAACAGGAGAACCTGTGGGCATGACTGCATTTTTAGCAACTGACCATGAACATTTATCGCAGACAGGAAACAAATACTGTGGAGTCCTCTAATGTTTTATGCAGGATGTGTTATTGAAGTGGAGGTAACATATAAACGCTCAAAGCTGCAGTTTGGGTGGTGGCGGTTGACCTTCCATGTTGTCACATCGGCCTGATCTTTAACCCGTCTTTCTGTTGTTCCTAGGGAGGTAAAAAGACGACCCTCAACACACAGAAGGTCCAACCAGACAATAGCACTTTCCCCAGAGGAGAACGGAGGCATGGCGCATGCCAAGGGCCGAGCGAAAAAGGGAGACGCCTGCCTGTCCGACGAGGATCCTGAGAGGATGAGGCACAGTAAGGGGGTGGGGCTTAATATCAGCAGGAGGAGGGAGACTCCTCCCATTTATTTGCTGATCCATAGTGCTCTGTTATATCTTGTTCTCTACTATGCTTTTCTATTGTATTGTGTTATGAACTATACCGGTCCCTTTGATTCTGCAACAGCCTCTTCTTTGTTACTATGCCATTGTAACCCCTGTTGTGTATTCTTTTCTGTTCTATTCTTTTTTAATAACATACGGGCAGTGGGCTCTTTAAAAGGAACATGTGCCCATCAACACAAAAACATGTCATGTTGCTACAGTTCAATACAAAAAGCATCAAGACATGGTCAAGGGGTTCAGTTGTTGTTTTGTTTAATGGAGAAGATGCATGACCTAAGCGGTTTAGTTGCTACAGGTTGGTTCCATTTGCAGCACCTCAGAAATGTCCCCTTCCCACACTTAGTCAGTCCAGCGATCCTCAGTTTGGGTGAAGACATTTTGCTAATGGGAGAGGTCAGAGAGATTGGTCAGACATCATCAAGCTGGCAGGAAGTCCACAACCGCTCAGATAAATCATCTTTATAGTGGTGGGGTGCAGGAGGACCTTCCCCAAGAGACAACCACTGAACCTTGAAGAGGATGAGATGAGATGATCACGCCGGGTTCTACTCCTATCAGCTGGGAGCAGGTAAACGAGGCTACATTGGGCAGAGGATCCCCAAAATCTGTATCCTCAGAAGGCTGAAAATGCATCACCTGGCATGAGGAATCTTTAAATCTGAACTCCGGCCTTCCCTTCAGTCTTGCACAGTTGTACGGGCTCCTCTCCTGGACTGAAATGGCTTCCTCCTGATTTTCACTGCACACAATGTGCATTAGAAGCAAGTCAGATAGAGCCCGTCTCATTTCCTGGCTGGAAGAGATCCAGCATCTTTTAGCACTTTCCTCCCCAGCCTGACTGTCCCTGGCCCCTCCCCTTTCATTCATTGGATTTCAGTTCTTTCCGTCATGGGGGCTCAGTATCACATTTGGGTGCTACTTAGGGCAGTCTGCATGCACATGCAACCTACCTTGGTACACTCATTTTTCCAGATCAAGGCATTTTGATATTTGCATAACTCTTTCCAAGAGACGGCCCACAGCTTGTATAAGGGCTTTTAAGAGAGGAGTACTGAGGCAGAGTGCTGTGATGTTTTCCCGGAGGCTATGTACAGCACCCTGCCATTCCCTCCCACCAGCCATGATCTGCCTGGCTGGTTGCATAGAGCAGCGCAGAGACTCAGTGATGATGTCACTGGGCCTGAAATGAGCTATGTATTGAAAATGGAAAGGTTTTATTTCAAAATGTAATTAGTATGTTCATGAGAGAGGAACCAGGGAAGGCAACATAGTAGCAGATAAAACTTCAGCTTTATTCATGTTTCCACATAATAATAAGACGACATGTTCTGCTGCGTGCTGTCAGGTACTATTCTGTTCTATACTATTTCACTATCCTGTCCTGTATTATATTATCCCATGACATGTTGTTTTATTGTGTTATTTTATTACAACTCTCCCCTGTACTTTTCTCTTACCTACTGTCCTTGTGTCTTTTGTGCTACACAGTTTTGTGTTTTTGTTTTTTTTTGTCTGGGTAAAATAAGTGTCCGGGCATTCGGTACATCTCTATAACATATGCATATGTTGCTGTGCTTTGTCCCTTTTAAAAACACAGCGAGTGCAGAAAAATACCGTTTGACCTTGCCAGAAATCCAGTGAGCTCCTAACATCCTGTGCAGGCTGCCGCACTGAAATCCCAAGCAGTGTTATCAGCCCTGCACAGCTGTCCTCTGTGGACTACATACTAAGAGAGGGGGAGATAGGGGGAGAATTAGACAGAGCTGATACCACTGTTTTGGAATGTCAGCGTAGCAGAGATAGAATGCACAGGAAGTTAGGCGTTTACTGGATTTCTGGCAAGATACATGGAGCCCCGAGTGTCTCAGGGTGGGATATCTGTGTATCTGAAATGATTGTAATGCAGCAGTTTTCTTTGTGCTCTGGTTGGAGTCAGGAAGGAAACAGAAAACGCCCAAAAAATTCACAGGGGAGCAACCTTCCATCACCACCACGTTTGGCTTGAAAGGTAAGCGTTCTACGCGCCGATCTTCATACGTTCACTTTCCTTACCAGCCTCGGACATAGTTATAGAACCCTCACGCATTCCGTTATTGGATGACTTTGCTTATATGAGGGGTTCTCTTGATTACCTCTTTTAAAATGGGGGACAGTTGTCCCTTGATGACTGTTTCCAAAATGCAGCGGTCTCATCTCTTCTCTGGACAGGGTGCAACCAATGGAAAAGTGGTCCTCTAAAATCTAGGTGTGCTTGGGAGACCATCGTAATGATACCACTGCTGCAAACACCTCGGCTGGAAACTACAGACACTCCTCGGGTTACGTTTCGGAAAATCCATCGTAACCCCGAAAATATGGTAAACTGAGGAGCGGACTTGTGTACTGTACTGCTGCGGTCGGCAGCAGACAGTACACAATGGGAATCAATAGCAAGACTGCTTTAGGCTATTTCATATTGCAAAAGCCAATAGCAGGCTGGCTATTGAATCTCCGCCCGTTAAGAGGAGGAGTGGACCTGAGAGAGAAAGGTCGCTCTCAGGTCCGCCTCTGCTCAGTGAGCGGGTGCAATATGCCAGCCTGCTATTGGCTGTTGCAATTTTAAATAGCCAATAGCAGCCTTGCTATTGATCCTGACTGTTTACATTCACCAGACGGCTGCGGCAGCGAGCCGACAGGTGAATCGGGAAGCGGAGCGCCTCGAGGCTGGTTCCTTGAGAGTTACTATTAAAGGAGAACTATGAGGTGAGTGCTTTTCACTCAGCCTCATAATCTGAGCCGACCTGTGACAATGAGACTGTCACAGGTCGGCTCAGTAGATTGGGAAGTGAGCTAACACATACCGGCGTTCGCTCACCTCTCGATCCTGTCACTGCAGAGAGCGGTGACAGGATTCTCCCCTGTCTGTTCCTCCAGCGCTGACTGGCGGAACGGACGGGGGAGGGGGCGGGTACAGCTGGCTCTGCCTCTAGATAGGCAGATCCAGCTGTCACTCACACAGCTGGGCGGATCCAGACATAATTGTTGGGATCCATTTCAGCTGCGGCAGTAGCAGTAGCTAGCGGTATACTGAGCTTTGGGTGACGCTAGTTTGTGTCCTCCCGTTACCCTTCGGAGCACTATGGGGAAAAGCCCTAAACCCATAGTTCTCCTTTAACTCTCAAGCAACTATTAACTCTCAAGCAACCAAAAACTACAGTTATCTGGCACCTTCCGATCCGTGGGTGCCGAATAACTGGGAGTTTACTGTACAGTAAACTCCATCGGAAATGGAAAAAATCGACTGAAGTCGATTGATCTCAACCCGAGGAGCACCTGTAGATGATATTACCTGTCATTCAGATTAGTTCGGCCATATTAAAAGCTGAGTTGAAGGCAAACATCTAAATATCATGCTGGTATACATACAAGTGCAAAAAGCCTTGACATTCTGTTCATCCAACCTTGTAACCCAGGCACTCCCGTTGCACAGCACAGCCATATCACTGACCTTGTTTTTATTCCACTGCATTTACACAAGACATTTTGGTCAGTGACCCGCCCCTATTCCTTTGAGGTCATCGGTGTGCTTTCCTTTCCCCTCAGCAGACACCCAGGGTTGGTTTGAATGCACTGTGCTTTGCAGCGGTGCACAATTGGCTCACAGTGCTACCCCCCTCTTGTCCAATGAGCCCTGCTATGCAAGGGACTACAGGAAACTAATATAAAGACAGATTGACTTGTAATAGCCGTATTTAAATACATTAAAAGGAACTCATAACTGCATTTATAAGTCTGAACTTTAACTTTAATTATTTACTCCATAATCTTTTTTTTGTTTGTATTACATGATTGACGTGTTGCTTAGCATCTGATATTCCTTTGACAGGCCTGGGAAAAGCGGAAGACAAATCCAGAGCGAGACACAGCAAGTTTGGAAGAATAGGGGAGACAAAGACAAATAGTGGAAGAATAGGGGAGACAAAGAAGAGACAGGAGACTTCCTGTATAAGACTGGAGAACGTCACGGCCGCCCCTTCAGGTAGGAAACTATAGCCTGTGCAATGACAACCAGGGTCGTGCAGAGGGGTAGGCAGAAGAAGCAGCCGCCTTGGGCAGAGAAGGAGGGGACTTGCAACCTATGCTGCGAAAATAGTTTACAGCTCATCAGGGAGGAAGGGGCCCTTTGATTGTTTTACCTTGGGTGCTAAAGGACCTTGTCCCGCCACTGATGACAGCAGCTATACGTGTGAAGGGAGATCCTTCATATTTAATAATTTCATCAAGCTGCAACATCACCAAAGGTGTGCTAAATCGTGCTTAAAGTGTATCTAAACCAAAAACCCAATTATTTCACTTTATTTCCACCTAATGATCCTGCCCGTGGTTCCGCTCAGTCACCATACTGTATCTATGAAGGAGCAGCGTCATCGCCCTAGGTCAGGATTGCACAACACCTCCCCTTCTCCTCGTCTCTATGAAACGGGGAGAGGTGTTCTGTAGATTTTAGAGGTAACCCGATAACAATTTTTGAGATAGCTCTGTAGAGAGCACAGGACATAGGACAGCACTGGATTTCTGGCAGGATCCAGAGGTACTTTTCCTTGTGCTTATTGATCAGATTATTATTAATATTATAATACAATATTTAGATTTACCAAAACACTTTTTTATTGTAGCTTAGTATACAGTAAGATTATTAAAATGTATTTACCAGACCAAAGAGTGAGCTTTACTAGTTCCTTTTCATAGTGAAATTATGTTTTTGGAAGATTTTCGATCTTTTATAAAACACCCCAATGTTTCAAAGCAATGTTAAAAGCATCTTGTGTATCTCAAAGGCTTACGTTACACATCCCCGCTCGTGAATAATACATCTCTTTAAATTTCCTTTATGAGTCATCCACAGAAGGCTTGAAGTCATAAAACAGCCTCAATTATCATATTAATAGATATTTTATTTTCCCATTAATGTACCCTGTGAAGCAGAACTTTAAAACTTTTGGTACATATGCCCAAGAGGGTACTGATGATAGGTCTAAGAAGATACTAGCGACTTTCAAAGCCCATCTCCGGGCAATTTTTATTTTTTTTATAGTTCTCCAGCAGGAGTTTAAAAGAATAAAGCTACTGCTGTCCCTTGCAATGCCTCTTTTCCATCACTAGATGTCCTCAGTCTTCCGGGTTAAATGACTCCCAGTGTCATTCCAAGAGAATGGAGAGTGCACAGTGTCATGGACCCTACCCCCTGAGGTGGGATGTCGACATGCTGCTCAGTGATCACGGTGTAATTGTGCAGCTATTGGTGCTTTCTTTTGTTATTTATAAAAAACATTATTATACAGGATTATTATACAGGATTTATATAGCGCCAACAGTTTGCGCAGTGCTTTACAATATGAAACATTGTACCAAATACCAAAATCTTTCCTTTAAAGGAGAACTATGAGGTGAGTGCTTTCCACTCACCTCATAGTTCTAGCCGACCTGGGACAATGAGACTGTCACAGGTCGGCTCAGGAGATCGGGAGGTGAGCGGACACATACCGGTGTTCGCTCACCTCTCGATCCTGTCACGGCTCTCTGCCGTGACAGGGGAGGGGCTGGATTCCCCGCTCCGATCCGCCAGCGCTGACTGGCGGAACGGACGGGGGAGTGGGCGGGTACAGCTGGCTCTGCCTCTAGATAGGCAGAGCCAGCTGTCACTCACGCAGCTGGGCGGATCCCGGCATAATTATCGGGATCCGTTTCAGCTGCGGCGTCTTAGTATACCGCGAGCAGCAGCTTGCGGTATACTGAGCCTAGGGTGACGGGAGGACGCTAGTTTGTGTCCTCCCGTTACCCTAAGGAGAACTATGGGGAAAAGACTTAACCCTATAGTTCTCCTTTAAGAAATATAATAATATGTTAATTGAAACATGCTAAAGCTGCTAAACTTGGCCTGGGCATCCAAGCATGAATGGCCTCTAGTCAAAAAGGAGGTAAAAAGCAATAGTTAAACACCTTACATTGCACTTACTAATATAACGGCTCTGAGGCCTTAGCAAGAACATACTTATTTGTGGCCAGTGGGGGGCTCCCTGACACTGCCCATACCCTGCCTGTTGTCTTTATCTTTTTTTGCTTTGAGTCCTGCTGTAAATCTTTAGCGCTGTAGGAAACCGTTATACCACATCAGGGGCTTTAGGTACTGCAGATCTATATTCAGAATGGCTGCACCCATAATAAACTAAAGTGGTAAAGTAGACAGACGCTGTGGAAATATTCTACTTTATATAAATAGCAAGATGCTGTGTGTGAGAAGTGCTCACTTACAAAAACATGTCATATTTGCAGCTTTTCAGTCCTTAGATGTGGTGGCTTCATTAGTTTTCTTTTTTTCGGGCTTAGAACATTTTTGGCAAAAATAGAAATACCGGTTGATCTTGCCAAAAATGCAACGACTTGTTCTTTCACTTGAGGCCCAACTCCAGTTTAGGAGGCCCCCCAAGTCCTCTCCCTCCTCCCCAAAAACCTCCTCTTTCCACAGCAAATTTTTCAAATATTTTCAGCATACATAAATAAATTGCAGGTGTCTTCTGGACAGTCAAATGACAGGCAGGGTCCTTCTTCTTCTACTAATACGGGGATCCAAAGGCAATTCATTTAAATGAAGGAGTTCTCATTCCTAACTTCAGGGCAAGTGTCTTTACTGGTTTATTTACACACACTGCCTGGCCAAAAAAAAAGTCACTGCCTGGATTTAGCTATGCATATAGGTCAGAGCCTTCCATTGGATAAGTGTTATGATCTGGGGTTGCTTCAGTTGGTCAGCTCTATGTTTAGCAACATTATGTCCCCAAAAAATGAGGTCAGCTGCTACCTGAATATACTGAATGACCAGGTTTTCCCATCAATGTATTTTTTCTTCCTTGATGGCACATTGGGCATATTCTAAGATGACAATGCCAGGATTCATCGGGCTCAGATTGTGAAAGAGTGGTTCAGGGAGACATCATTGTCACACATGGATTGGCCAACACAGAGTCCAGACCTTAACCCCATTGAGAATCTTTGGGATTTGCTGGAGAAGACTTTACACAGTGCTCCGACTCTCCCAACATCACTACCAGATCTTGGTGGAAAATGAATGCAACTTTGGCTGGAAATAAATGTTGTGATGTTGCATAAGCTTATGGTAACGATGCCGAGGTGAAATGCGTGCTGTAATCAAAGCTAAAGGCGGTCCAGTGAAACATTAGAGCCTGTGACTTTTTTTTTGCCCAGGCAGTGTGTATATATATATACACACCAAGAAGGAAACTGTGACTATAACACCACCTGAGACAAACTACTAAAAAATATCCCTTCATTGAAAAACATATAGTACAAGCATAGGTTAAAAACCAAAATATCCTTCCCAAAACCCATAGAACAGAACAGCGTTGTTCAAATGTACCTATTCATATACCCTGAGGCCTTGCTCACACCAAGCGCAGAGCAGGTGCAGAGCAGATCAGTTGCAGACCTGATCAAAACTGCGTCCAATGTATTCCTATGGTATTTTTTGCTCCGGTCCACATCGCAGCGTGCAGGTCCAGAGCAGGTGAAAAAACTGCAGCAGGCCCTATTTTACCTAGCTGGATCTGCAAACGCATGCAAATGCCTGGAACGCACTGAAAGCCCATTTTAAACATTAAAAAAAACTTTTTTAGCCAAAAATGCGTCAAAACGTGTCAAAAACGCATCTAAAAGACTAGCATGCGTGTGCAGAAACCTGACCGGATCTGCTCTGCATTTGGTGTGAACAAGGCCTAAACCTGAGACAGTGAAAATAACATGCAATAGGATGCAATCAGGTAAAGTGCCAAATACAAGATATATTGTTGCACATGTAAGTTAAAATTGCTACATGGAGTTCTTATACGTATAGAATGTAGCAACACAAAACATCTTTTCCTTAGCTGGCCAGGTATATCCTTCCTCTTCTGCCCCATTGTTGGCTGCGCAGTTCTATGCAGTATTGTCCTATGAGCCTTGGCTTTGTGAAGACTAACACCCCTGGGAGTGTGTCCATGACAGAATAGTCTCATAGGAAGTTGAAGCGGAGTGGCAGCAGAGGAGGGTGTGGGGGGGGGCAGCGCTGGAACATGAAGAGGGTAAGTAGTATTACACTTTTTATTTTTTTAAACAGGGTAGTGGGAAGAATCTTAGCATCTAGTTTGGGGTTTTCAACATCCCATTTTGTTATAAAATATGCATTCTCCTTTAAACAAAATGGAATATTGGATAAAGATCACTTTCACACTTCTTTCCCCCTGTACCAGGCAGTGTGGACGACAACTTCCATCGACAGACTAACAAAAGGGGGGAGGTGACCTGTCCGAACTGTGGATCGGTTACCCGTAAGACTGTAGCAGGGCTGCGGAAGCACATGGATGTATGTGAGCAGGTGAGACGCCGTATGTGTTAACCAGTGTGCCGCTCTGCGTTTTGCGTCTTTATAGGTTCAATGTTGGCATTGGGTGGCTCCATATTCGCCGATGAAGTACAATTGCCCTAACATCATGCCGGGACTTTAGAGTCACCAGTTACTCAGTGCAAATGTTAAAGCCTGTATGGCAGTTTCTGAGCTTGGGCATTTTAAGGGAATACTTTTGAAGGTTCCGCCATGTCCAAAAAAGAGTTGCTTATGGTTAAAGGTGGAATTAGCCCAGATCAATTGACAAACTTGCAAAGTCGATTTTCCAGTCCATGCTTCCATGCTCAACTCTGTCGCCTTAGGGTGAATTCAGATACTGCTCCATAGGCAGCAATAGGGTGGTCTCCACATAGACTAAGCAATGGTGTAGATGTTAGTTTAAGGCTACTTTCACACCATCTCCAGTGTGTTCCACCACGGTTAACTGCTGGATTGCATACTGTCCGGCGTACTGTTGAAAAAGCCAATTCATCGAAATCTCCAATTACGTCGCGTCCAGTGATTTGTTAGTAGGATATTTGGATGAGTTGGCTGTAGTGCGTGTGTGCCACCCACGGCATTTTCGGAATCCTCGATTTCTCTAATGCAATTCACCGCGGCTGTGTGGCTTCACAAGCCTCATCGAGTTCTCCAATTCCCCTTACTGCGCCAGCGCGCCCACACAATAGCATTATCAAGTTCTCCAATTCCCCTCACTGCGCCTGTGCGGCCACCTGTACAAAGTTACATAGTTACATAGTATTTGAGGTTGAATAAAGACATTAGTCCATCAAGTCCAACCTATTAGGATCTCATTCTAGTAGTACCTGTACCCCTGTATATTACGGTCCCTTAAGAAATCGTCCAAAAGTTTCTTGAACAATTCCACATTCTTTGCTGAAATCACTGTCTGTGGCAGTGAGTTCCAGAGCCTAACTGATCTTACAGTGAAGAACCCCCTTCGCCCCTTGTGCTGGAATTTTTTTTCCACCAATTTTAGGTGGTGGCCTCTAGTTTTTGTAATGGAGTTAATTTTAAACAGTTTATCGCTAATGTTGCTGCCACCATTGAACATTTTGTACATGGAAATCATATCCCCCCTCAATCTCCTCACCTCCAATGTGAACATGTTTAAATTTAGTAGCCTTGTCTCGTAGCTCTGGTCCTCCATACCCCTAATTAGTTTGGTTGCCCTCCGCTGGACTTTTTCCAACTCAAGGACATCTTTTCTTAGTACTGGTGACCAGAACTGGACCGCGTACTCCAGATGAGGTCGAACCAATGATCTATAAAGTGGCAAAATATTTATATTATATTTGCAATATTATATTTGCAAACCCGCTTCATTTTTCCTAGATATTTTAAAGTATCTGCCATGTTTAATAGTGATCATCTCCTTTAAGCTTGCCAGTCTTTTATGTCTGCTAAGAAAGCATCCTGACTCTGCCTCTATGTCACTATCAGCTCCAAGAAGCTCTGAGGTGTCAGCACTGCAGGAAACAGTTTAAATCAAAAGCCGGACTCAATTACCACACTATGGCTGAACATGTCAATAAGGTAAGTGAATGGTCTTTGTGCTCTCTCTCTTGTCTTTATGCAGCCACACATTAAAGGAGAACTATGGGGTCAGCGTTTTCCCCCATAGTTCTCCTTAGGGTAACGGGAGGACGCTAGTTTGTGTCCTCCCGTTACCCTAAGCTCAGTATACCGCGAGCTGTAGCTCGCGGTATACTGAGCTTAGGGTAACGGGAGGACGCTAGTTTGTGTCCTCCCGTTACCCTAAGCTCAGTATACCGCGAGCTGTAGCTCGCGGTATACTGAGCTTAGGGTAACGGGAGGACGCTAGTTTGTGTCCTCCCGTTACCCTAAGCTCAGTATACCGCGAGCTGTAGCTCGCGGTATACTGAGCTTAGGGTAACGGGAGGACGCTAGTTTGTGTCCTCCCGTTACCCTAAGCTCAGTATACCGCGAGCTGTAGCTCGCGGTATACTGAGCTTAGGGTAACGGGAGGACGCTAGTTTGTGTCCTCCCGTTACCCTAAGCTCAGTATACCGCGAGCTGTAGCTCGCGGTATACTGAGCTTAGGGTAACGGGAGGACGCTAGTTTGTGTCCTCCCGTTACCCTAAGCTCAGTATACCGCGAGCTGTAGCTCGCGGTATACTGAGCTTAGGGTAACGGGAGGACGCTAGTTTGTGTCCTCCCGTTACCCTAAGGAGAACTATGGGGGAAAACACTGACCCCATAGTTCTCCTTTAAACTTACAGCCAACTTAGCAAATTTTGATTGTGGAAAAATTCCCTTGGTGGCTTAAAGCAAACCCAATTTGCTTTTTTTTTTTGTCCCATCTCCAGCAGCAGATACTTACCTTTGCTTTGTTCCACCCCGTTTAGCACATTCAGCTTTGTTCCCCCACTACCCTATTCATACTAGTGGGTATGGGGGAGCATGTGACTCACTCACACAATCAGTGCTATCACATAGGGAGTCCATAGCTCTAGTGTTACACAAGACTTTCCTTTACGCTCCTGGCAACAGAATGGAGGGGCTGGTGGAACAAAAGGAAGGTATTTGCTCCTAAGGTGGCATTCCTATGAATTTCTAAATAAGAACCATTCATCCTTTCCAGCATAGGGATGTGTCTGGCTTTGTGCAGAGCGCTCCCTTTTTTGATGTACCCTATAATGGTGATCACATGACTTTGTTAATGTGTAGAGCCATGTCATTTTTTTTGTCAAGCAACTTTCACCTACACAGTCACACGGCATGGCCGCTTTTGAATTCTGTAGCAAAATCATTGTGCTCATCCCTATGAGTGATCTGACTCTCCACAACAGCCGGACTGCTGAACCCATCGTGTTGGCCATGGGATGATTCTACTTTACTTCCCTCAGAATTTTGTCTTTCTTCCTTTCCCTTTAGTCTTCCAGCACTAACAAGGTCCCAGTGAATGACCCCAGGGAGCGGGAACGCCTGCGCAAGGTTCTCAAGCAGATGGGAAAACTACGCTGCCCCAAGGAGGTAAATCCTTATGACAAAAGTCAAGTCATCTGCAAAGAGCAAATCCAAAGGACAACTAAACTAAACTATGTTTAAAAAACAAAACTACCTGGAGTCCCAAGTCATTAAAAATGGAGTGCTTTCCTTTTAGAATAACCCGGTGTGTCATTTTTCCTAGAATTGCATGGCCTCATTTTCCAGTCTTATGGGTTACCAGTACCACACTCAGCGTTGCGGGCGAGAACAGTGCGACCGGGAGAAACTGCACTTCTCCTGTCCTCATTGTAGCAAAGCGTACCGATCTAAAGCCGGGAGAGACTACCACGTGCGCTCCGAGCACTGCACAGTAAGTTCACGTATGGTGTCTTCATTGCAGACTGTGAATAACACTGGGGCTGTTGTAGCAGCCAATTGGATTGGAGTGGGTGTGTTTGTGAATTCCTTTCCTTTATTACAAATGACAAAGCCAAAGGGGGTTCCCAAACTGACAAATTAAAGATAAAAGAGATTGAGGTGAGGTGGACTGGCGCACTACAGCTCTATGAACAGAGCAGGTAGGCTGTATTCTCTGTATGCATTTCAACGCTGCATTTTACATTTTGACAATGCTTTCTTGGTTCTACCCAGGACCTAACCAGTCCAGAGGAACCTGAGCCGACATCAAAGCAGGAGGTGGAGATCGAGGACTTTGAACGGACCCCGAGCGGGCGAGTACGGAGGCGCTCGGCCCAGGTCGCCGTCTTCCATCTACAAGAGATCGCAGAGGATGAGCTGGCAAAGGAAGGAAGCCGAAAGAGGATGAAGGAGGACCTTGTACCGGACAGTAAGAGGGTGAGGTGGAGCTCATTCCATTGGGTAAAGGGTAACTTAACACGAAATGTGTTTTAGTTATCCATTGATGGTTGCAGGTGGTGTCACCCACTGGATACTTGTATCTGTCTGGGATTCATGATAAGCTTTCCACACCTAAGTTATCAACTCCACCCATCTGCCACAGCCATGAAGGCGAGGATGGACAGCCTGGAACTCTGGTCTAGATTTCACTTATGGAGTCATTGACAAATATGAGCAACTGTACACATCACAATACAATTACAAATGTTCCCATTGCAATTTCTTTTTGGTGTGTGGGCTTAATGCTGAACACCAGGTACACAGCTAAACACACACACACATGCATATAAGGTTGTTGTTTTGTCCTTTAAAGGATTTTTATGTCTGTCCATCAGGTCTAGGCTGGTGACCTGACATTGCTCCGCTGCCGTAAAGCAATATAACTTGGTCTTGTCCATCCCCCCAGCACAGTGAAGGAAACACAATAGGCTGCTGAAGTCATCTCTCTGTCACTTAGCTTTCTCCTCCTGTCAGCATGTTTGTTTTTAACACATGACCACTGTAGCTCAACTGATTGGCTCATTGTGCTGCCCGGCCTTCTGCCAATCTGAGCTCTGCTTTACTGGGGATTGCAGTATATTGATGCCAAAGTCAGGTACTTTCAAATTTGCTTGGAGTTCAGCTTTAAAATTGTATGCAGTGTAGTAAAAAAATATTCCTACCATTGAGCAAAGAAGGACGCACACTGACGTTTATTAACAAAGGCTGACAGCTATCCAGTGACATAGTAATATTAGGCTTTGTCTCAGATGAGAGAAATGATGCCCAGCCTTGGTTAAAACCCACCGCTGATCTGCTGAAAGTGGGTCAAGTTTAGACAATGTGGGCAGGGGATGGCACATCGATGTGCGTGGCTGCATGTAGACTGCAGAATGTGCTGGTTACGTAGGTATTATTCAGCAGACATGCCTTGGACATTTTATAGAGAGGGTGTATCTACACAGATGTCTCAGAAGACGCTGATCCAATGTGCATTCATCCTTGATGAACAGCTCTCCAACCTCCTACAAATTTAGACCTTTAAAGTCTTATGTTACACCTGTTAAAGGACCCGTCTATGTATAGAGGTGGGATGATGGCTAACATGTGTCTTCTATGACAGCTGAACTACCTCCGTCCTGGCCTGCCGACCTTCAACCCCCAACTCCTGGACACATGGAAGAACAGTGTTAAGGATAACGGCTTCATCTGCTGCCCTAATAATGTGAGTCACTGTGTATGAAGTATTCTTTATATTCCTACAACACAATGCACATCCTGTGAATGCAATATTTAAAGTGTAACACCAGACAAAAGATTTGTTTTGTTGTGGGTAGAAAAAAAAAAGTTTTTTTGTTTTTTTATTGCTGCCTGTGTCCCTCTTGGAGATTCTCACACTTCCCATCCTAGTAACATGTTGTCACTTGAGAAGGAAGTGTGGGACAATCTCCACAGTGTGGCACCAGAGGGTGTTAAATACCGGCACTGCAATAAACGGCTGATGGAGATTGTAACCTCCTCTACTAAGAAAATTGTTTGTTTTTTTATTATTGCTGCCTGTGTCCCTCTTGGAAATGTCCCCACAGTTCCTATCCTGGGCAGGAAGTGTGTGTCACTTGGGCAGGAAGTGTGGGACCATCCCCACAGTATGGCAACAGAGGGTGTTAAATACTGGCACTGCAATAAACAGCTGATGGAGATTCTAACCTCCTCTACTATGAAAATAAATGTGTTTTTTTTTTCATTTGCTGCCTGTGTCCCTCTTTCCCCACACTTCCCATCCTGGTGACATGTTGTCACTTGGGCAGGAAGTGTGGGACAACCTCCACCGTGTGGCAACAGAGGATGTTAAATACTGGCAAGGGCTCCAAACCTTTTACACTCTATCCAAAACTAAAGAAATCAATTAAAATAATTAAATATGTGCTTAGTATAAGGATCAATAAATCATTACTAAAGGTCCTAGTCAAAAAAAAATACATAAAATCCCTGGTACTTATATAATATACTTAGTAAGCATGTTTCTGTATACCCTGAAATGCACCTCGAAATGCACCTTCACTATACTGTATAAATACAGGAAATGAATGGTTAAATGATACAAATCTGAGCATGTGAACGGAGACCATGTCTGTGTAACTTTGACCCTTGCTGCACCCTGTTGATCTCCTGGAACAGTTTCACTTCAGGGCTGGGGTAAAATGATAAGCTACGACCCCCCCGTCACTTAGGTGCAAATAAAAAGAGCTGAAATAATCAAATGATGTACTAAAAATATTTTGCTGCCTACACAGAGCGCAGGTAGCCATAGAGAATGTGGGTCAGGTGGTCGCTGAGATGTTGGAATATTCTAACTTTGAATTTAATTGATCATTTTTAAAATAAAAAATCTTCAGTTCACCTAGTGGGAGCTGGATGTGGCCGGAACATTTTTCCGCAAAGGCTGTGTGACGGTGGCCTGGTTGGAACTTAGGAATGGGGGTGGAGGTAAGTATTTTGGTAGGTGGCTGCCACTCAGGTGGTGGGGGAAAAAATTAAAGGATGCCAGTAAGGGAGAGCCTAATACAGTGTAATAGAATGTCCGGGCTTGCTCAGGAATATATATATAAAAATATTATAAATAAGTGTTTTGTTTTGACTAGTAACAATATTGTGGTGTGATGCGGTGCCATTCGTTCTGAATGGGACCCCAAGGCACTTTGCAAAGGACATGCTTTGTAGCGTACGACATTATTGCGCTGCAGCGCACGTCCATTGCAGAGTGCTTTGGGTGCCATTCAGAGTGAATGGTACCAAACCACGGCAACGCATGTTAGTTGCATCGCTGCAAGATAGTGTGAACGGGCCACAAAAATGTCATTGTTAACGTTTGCTTTCTCTTTTGTCACTAGTGTTGTGAAGCAATATATTCCAGTGTCTCTGGGCTGAAGGCTCATCTTGCCAACTGCAACAAGGTATATATATATCATCCATTATGGTGACTTACCATTGTCCTCATTAGTGGCGGCTCTAGCGAGCAAAGGTCCCCATTCAATTACATGGTAGTAAATATAAACACTCACTGCATATAGATAGGTCTTTGCAGGGATCCCAACCTGAAAGAAGCACTTTCAGGGAGGTGTCCCTCTCATTTCCGGGAGGTGCCCCCCCCCCCCGCCCCCCATCCACGGAGGAGAGGTTAGGGGGGGCTGGGAGAGAGCACCCCCCTGAAATGATGGCAGATAGCACAGGAAGCAATAGCTTCTTTGCTATCTTCAGGCTTTCATAGCGGGAGACTCCCGGAGCTTCCGGGAGAGTTGAGATGTCTGTCTTTGTGATACCCCAAACTCTCTTTTGGTCCTTCACTTCCAGCCCAAAAGCCATCAAGAGGAAAAGTACTCTGCATGTCCCCATGTACCTCTTGGATATTACAGACCAGTGGCATTAGAAACAATGGCTTCTGCTTCTCGCATGACTGGGTGTAAGTGGTGATAGCAGGTTGGGGACCCAATGTGAGCCTCTAAATTGCAGAAGGCCCTTGTGCAGTTCTACATTCTGTACAAATGCTCTGTCTACCCCCTGGCTGTCATGCATAAAACAGGAGCTCAGTCCTCAATGGCATTCTTTTAAGACTCCTTTCATTAGTGTGAGTAGAAGTTGTTAACACATCAAACACACTGCATGCTGCATGTATTTGTAGTGTACCACTTCTAAACGCTGTGTGTTGTTCCACCAACATTGATATTTATTTTTTTGCTATGCCTTTTCCCCTTTTGAATAGGCACTAGAGATTGTTGTAACCCCCGAAAATGTTAACTGCAATTCAATTGGTCTGTATAGGCAACGTAGACACATTCCCCTTCTTCCTACGAGGCCCCATTTTGGAGTATCAGTAAATGGCATTATGTTGAACTCCAGGCAAAGCGTTAAATACACAGTTGGAGCACATATGTGTGAAGTGCAATGCTTTTCAAAGTTTGTAACTCTGTTAGGTTATACTTGCGGCCTAGGCAGCCCTGCCACACTGCACAGTCAGGTCCTGGGCCTTTCTAGAGACTATATTACAGTTAAGCAACGCTGCCTGCCCCAGCGGAACCTGGGTATTGACAGTTTCCAAAAGAAATGTTAGTGTTAGTGTTGCAAGTGTGACAATACACTTATTGCAACGTTTCGGGGTCACACAGGATCCCCTTCATCAGGCAGAACAAGTGATGAAGGGGATCCTGTGTGACCCCGAAACGTTGCAATAAGTGTACTGTTGCATGAAACGTTAATAAAAAGACGTTCATCTACCTTGGAGTGCCGGTGTCCATAATTTCCTATATACTATTCAGACGGTGGCCATCCGTCGACTACTGATGCACCCAACCTATTACTACGGATTAGCGGTAAGGAGTGCAATGGGTACATGGACTGTAAGTGTAGCAAGTGTGACTTCTTCGTGAGTTTGGCATCTGGCCGCTTTGTGTCTTGCAGGGTGAGCACTCGGTGGGCAAATACAGGTGTCTCCTGTGCCAGAAGGAGTTCAGCTCTGAGAGTGGAGTGAAGTACCACATTGTAAAGACACACTCACAGGTGAGGAGGCAGCAGAGAACACGCTTCTATCTGGTTCTCCCCACTGACCACCCTATAGGCCAGAATACCCAACCCGTATAAGTAAATGGCAGCTTGTAATAGCCAGGCTGTGTGTCAGGGGGGGGGGTGGAACACGTGAGGGGATAACCACTTGTGAGGGTCATAGGCCCCCTTTACAGGGCAAAGAGACTTTCCAGAATGTTGGAATATGTCAAAGATCTGTTTTAACCATTATTTATTTACCTCCTTAGTAAATGATGCCTTCATCTCAGGATTAACAAAAACACAATGGGTGCGGCATGGAGCAGCAGCCCAAACAAGCATAGAAAGGTCACTCACTGCCCGTTGTTGGTGACCGATCTGTTCTTCGATAGCTAACCCACTGGTGTATCCAGGGCGGCACATATGGCACATACCCTGGGCGCCACTTGAAGGGGGAAAGTTCACTAAACCACGGAGACAGCTAACTTTTTTTCACTCTGGCAGGCATCCCGTCCAGCTCCTGGCAAACAATCGCTGCCAGGAGCTGGGCGGGACGCCATAGGTGCATTTTATTGTAGATACCCCTCTGGGCTAACCCAAATCATTATAAAGATGGCTGCACAGGGTCCTTGCATGCAAAGTGTTTATTTTGTTGAAGGTATCACTCCACCCAGTGCATAGCTCGGCTTTCTTTGGGTAATAATGTCCTGGAAAATGTATTTTTTCTATCTTTTGGTACAAAGCATGGCAAAGTTATTTGCAAATTCATTTTTTTGTCTTCAGTTTTGCAGATTTTTTTGTGACACTGAAAACCAGAACCAAAAAAATGAACCAAAAAAAAACCCAGCAAAGCTTTGGCCTTTTCTAATCTTTGCTGTTGGAAATCAAAGGAAAGCCATGCGTAAGCTATAAGTTGCCAGAGTCGTACCTTAAACAGAGCTATGGACTCCCCATGTGGCAGCACTGATAGGCCCAGCACTGTCACATGCTTCTACATACCTGGACGTCCTGTGTCTTTCTTAGCACTGATAGGCCCAGCACTGTCGCATGCTTCTGCATACCAGGACGTCCTGTGTCTTTCTTAGCACTGATTGGCCCAGCACTGTCACATGCTTCTGCATACCTGGACGTACTGTGTCTTTCTTAGCACTGATAGGCCCAGCACTGTCACATGCTTCTGCATACCTGGACGTACTGTGTCTGTCTTAGCACTGATAGGCCCAGCACTGTCACATGCTTCTGCATACCTGGACGTACTGTGTCTTTCTTAGCACTGATAGGCCCAGCACTGTCACATGCTTCTACATACCTGGACGTACTGTGTCTGTCTTAGCAGTGATGGGCCCAGCACTGTCACATGGGGTAAGTCACATGCTTCTGCATACCTGGACGTACGTACTGTGTCTTTCTTAGCACTGATAGGCCCAGGCTGTCACATGCTTCTGCATACCTGGACGTACTGTGTCTTTCTTAGCACTGATAGGCCCAGCGCTGTCACATGCTCAGGCATACCTGGACGTACTGTGCTGGACGTACTGGTGATGGGCCCAGCACTGTCACATGGGGTAGGTCACATGCTCAGGCATACCTGGAAGTACTGTGTCTTTCTTAGCAGTGATGGGCCCAGCACTGTCACATGCTTCTGCATACCTGGAAGTACTGTGTCTTTCTTAGCAGTGATGGGCCCAGCACTGTCACATGGGGTAGGTCACATGCTCAGGCATACCTGGAAGTACTGTGTCTGTCTTAGCAGTGATGGGCCCAGCACTGTCACATGGGGTAAGTCACATGCTTCTGCATACCTGGAAGTACTGTGTCTGTCTTAGCAGTGATGGGCCCAGCACTGTCACATGGGGTAAGTCACATGCTTCTGCATACCTGGAAGTACTGTGTCTTTCTTAGCACTGATAGGAGCAGCAGGGTAGCAAAGGAAAGGTAAGTATATGCTGGGTATATATGGGAGGATTAAAGCAAATCTATTTCTTTGCCATGAAGGGACAAAACATTAGCTTTAAAGCTGACCACACACATTAACACTGGGCTGCTTGAGCCAACTTGTATGCTGCTCAGTGCAACCCTAACTAAGACCTTTTTGTGACTGAGTAGAAAAGAGATAGACCCTCTATCAGGTTTTTATTGCCGTGTCTGTCCTCGCTAGGGAGATGCAATCTCATTTTCTAATATGACGACAGGAAGTAAAGGGAATTACAAATGTTACAACTGTCACCAGAATACGAGAAACGAATCTTTCTTTCGCATGTTTCAGTTGTGTCTTCCTCTTCACTTCCTGTTGTGTCTACAGGACAGGAAGTGAATGAAAAATCTAAATTGTCCCCCGCACCCGGGAACAGCACTGGTGACGACGGATGGGTAAGTATATTTTGCTTCGTAGTGTAAGAAACAAACGATGTTATTAAAGATGAGCTTTAATAGCAGCCAGTCAGTTAACAGGTTGGGACATTATTCCTTTTCCGTTGTCAGGAGACGTCAGTCACCCGATAACTATGATTGTGACAGTGGGGCCTATTCGCAGTGCTGATGACAGAGGCACCATATTGCTTTCCTGTCATGTGACCTGTTTGCATGGATGAGAAGGGCAGTGACTGGGACCTGGACGAAGTGTCCTTCCTACGGAAAGCAAAACACAAAGGGGGGAATTCATCAAAACTTGAGCAGACAACCAATCAGCTTCTCTCTTTAGTTTTGTTCAATTAAGATTTGAAAATGAAAATGAGATGCTGATTGGTTGCCGTGCACAGCTGCCCCAGATTTTGTCTGCTCCAGTTTTGATAAATTCCACCTCCCATCAATGACATTTCCCACCCTTGTCCCATAGCTGTGTTGTGGTAGTGCAGTGCTTAAAGCTCTCTTTGTATTCTCAGAACTGGTTCCGGGTTTCTGCTGTCTCTGCGGCCATTACACGGAAAAGAAAGCAGAACTTCTCTTCTAATAAGTCAGCAATGGAAGCGATCGGCAAGAAGAAAAAGAGGAAGATACAGGAGGAAAGCCCGGTCGGTTCTCCTCCTTCCGCCGCATCCCCGGACGCAGAGACTCCGCTTGCACTGAACACACACCCTAACAAAGCGACAGGCGGCGATAACGCGCACGCACATAACGCGCCGCCCGTCGTGAAAAATCAGAAAGCCGCGCCAATTAAGAGAGGGAAATAACACGGCGTGACGCACGACGCTAATCACAGAATCCAGTTTTGTAGCCCTCAGAAAATGGTATGTATGGCGTTTCAGAGGCTTCACGCTGACGCACTTCTGTCACCTTACACAGGACCAAATGAGATGAATATAAATGATCACTCTACAGATTTATAATCCGGATAGAGAAGTAACCAGATGTAAATGAAACATTTTAAGATTATATATTAAACTGTGGGAACAGGGGGGAGCGCAGTCCTTTCTGGACAAGAGGCAGGTGAAGGGAAGTCACATGACCAATTCCTTAGGCAGTTCATCGAGGGATCATGGGAGGAAGAATTGCTTGGCAAGGATGATTGTGACTGTCGGAAGGCCCAGATGGGAGCACAATAATCGGGTGAACCGTCCCCCGGGGTAGTTTGGTTTGGCTATCGTTTTGGTAGACTGATATCGCGCACGTAGACGTCTACCATCAGTCTGTCGCAAAGCACCGGTGTGGTCAAGCTCTGATGGAAGCAGACATTGCGTGAGTGGTGTGCTTATGTCTGGGGCATTAAAGCTTAATCTGTTCCCCTTAGATCTAGTATCGGCTACCTACGTCATGTAGTGGCTCCCTTTTATAAGAGAACCTGTAACGACTGGGCTTATGCATGAATCGGAATAGTCAGTCTTGAATGATAACAATCATGCGTACTTACACATAGAACATTGATTTTTTGACCCTTTTGTACTTTGAGGCAGCCACTTGAAGTCTGACTATTGCTGCCTCGTCCGTTGCCAGACCTCACGTACTGTCTCCCAGCTTCTGAGTTTGCATGTCAGTACCAAGTAACAAAGCCCCATTCTCCTACACTGCCGGGGCTGTGTTATTTCATGCTGTTGCAACCTAATGTGGACCTCACTAAAAATCCCTCCAGACCGGCAGGGCCCGATTTCCCACAAGGCCAACCAAGGCCCGGCCGAGGGGCAGCAGGGAGTAGAGGGGCAGTAGGGGTGTGGGACTCCTATCTCCCGACACTCGGGACATGCAGTTCTGGGTGGGTAGTTGTTTTCTACATTTAGCCCTACTTTGGGCAAGCAGAGCTACTGCCGACTGGGTGCCACCGTCACTATGTAGCTTCCTCTCCGCTGGAGCCCAGATTCCAGCGCCCTCAGCCCAAACCTGCCTAGTTATTGGAGGGAACCAATATATTAGGACAGAAAACTAAACTCCCAAAATAATAAAGATTTACCCCAAACATCAGGCAACAGTTGAAGTAAAAACAGGAACCGACTTTATTAAATGTATTTATTAGCACAGAATGTATACAGTTCTGGTCGTCTAAAAACATAACGCAATCAAAACATCGAGCAAACAATCCTGTCCCGGTTTCCTTCATGAAAGAATAGGGAGAAGGGAAACAAACAGGATGGGATTATCTCCTGAGTGTCTGCAGTATGGTAATCTACTCATCTATACCTGGAGTCAGCTACATGTAGAGTCAGCGATGTTAATCTCATCATTAACACACTGAAACGAATGGACAACAAGACTGTAAGCAGTTCTATTGGAAGTCTATGTCCAGAATGATCCCCCTTCAGTGCTGCTGGATTCACATCCTGTACCTATAATGAGCACAGGGTGCAGCACATCCACTGTACACATAAATCTGGGATAATAGTTCCTTGTTACCCCAAGAAGTCCGAAGAGGGGGGGGGGGGTCTCCATAGTCCTAGGTCCATAGTCATTAGGAAGGAGGCTAGCCCCCAGGCTTCCCCAACAGCCCCCGTGACATTTGAGTCCATCACATTACATATTTTGTAAGTAAAATTACAATGACTGTGTTTCCACTTCCTTGGACACTAGTGATGTGATGTGCCCAAGCGTTGCATCCTGGGAAGGTTACATCAGCAGAGCATTGCTGGGAAATCTCATCTGTAATCTCACGAGATCTCAGGGAAAGGCATTTTCCTCCCCTGAGATGATGTGCACGGTCACCTGTCCTCGTCACATGTTCCAGAGTTCCAGGAAGTAAAGGGAAATGGATTCATCTGCCCTTAGTAAAAATGGCCGCTGTTAGAAGAATGGGGAGGAACAGAAAAATAAGGCATGCAACGAATACAAAGCCGCCAATTATCTAGAAGTATCTGTTTGTAGATTGTCTTTACTTAGGTGTCTTTGTTGTCATTTTCAATGAATGGGTAAAATTCCTATTCAATGCATGCTCCACCCCCTTATCAGCCCCACCTCTTCTTTTACTTCCTGCCAAAGAGACATCTCCTTGCTCTGTCTGCTTCTCATACGCACACTGCAAACTCTTTAGACGGGAGTTCTTCAGGTGAATGACGGGCCCTTGCTGCATATAAGCCAAGCATCTCAGTGCTATGTAACTATGTTACATCACAGTCACAGATCACAACATTCAGGGGGGTACAAGACATTTGGCCTTTCAGTAGCCTGAATCTGGGGCAGCCAAAGTTTAGACCGCCAGCTGTGGGGGAACTACATATCCCATGAGGCATTGCAAGACTGACAGCCACGGGCATGGCTCCCAGAGGCAAAAGCATGATAGGATTTGCAGTTTCACCACAGCTGGAAGGCCTAGGTTTGCCTACCCCTGACCTAAACACGTACCCTTTTGCTAGTAATAATTTAAGGTTGCATATCATTTCTTGCATAAGTCCATCATGACTGGTTCTCTTTAAGAGTAAAGGTGTTTTGCCTTTTGAGTCCCATTTAAAAGTTAAAAGTTACTGTAACAAAAGCAGCAGCACCTTGCTGGCGTATGCGTGCACATGCCATATATCAGCATGGGCAGGCTGTGGTACCACCAGCCACAAACAAGGAGCAGGCCATGCTGCCATTGCTTTATCATAGCATAGGAAGGAGCATTGGCCATTGTTGTAGCCCGGATGTGGTGTCAGCCTGAGGTCAGTGGTACCGGCACCACACGCTGACCGCTCTCCAGCTGGCGCATTCATACGGACTTTATCTAGCAATAAAATGGTGGCGATGGGCTCCTTCCTGCTTCTTCCACCATCCACCAGGGAAGTCACATGGTATGTACACCGTAAAGAAAACCTGCTATAGATAATTAAAGACCAACGTCATCCAATCTTCGTTTTGGGAAAGGAAGGGGGGGTAGATCTTTGTCAGGTATTTATCGTTGTCTTTCTGCCCTGGTAACCCCCATCCGCCCGACCTTTCTTGTCCGAAGAGCAATGGGAAAGCTCCCCATTGGAGACATAGGCGGCAACACAAATTTGGCTGGAGTTGGGCATTCAAACAATAAGACGGAAACCCAATGAGAATCTTTTTTTTTTTATTATAGGTAAAAGGGGGGAAATGTATCCGATAGAAGGATTTATACTGCAGTGCAGACATACTGCATTGATCACTAGGAGCTTCTTGTGGAGTTGCACTTTAAAAGAGAAGGTAAATATAATGAGAATATATCAGACTGCAGTGCGTACAGGGGGTGTGCGAGCCACAAAACGATGTACATTCTTTATTCTGTGCGATTTTAGATTTTTATGAAACATTTAATTTATATATTCAGTAAGCACTTATTATTTTGTCAGTAAGGGTCATTTACTAACGTAAAAGGGCTGAGTCGGCAAACGCCAGGAGGCGGGCGCCAACCGGAAAGCAGCCACGTGTCCTGGTGGCGTTCGGACGTTCGTAAATGGACCTTAGTGAGTAGTCTGTTCTCAGGAGACAGCTGCACATAGTAAATAGGTTGATGTTACCGCACCTACTGAAGGTCATTTATTCTGTTACAAAAAAAAGGCGAGGTCAGCCATTTAAAGTGGGACAGTGGAAGAAGCCATTATGTGTCACCGGTCTCTAGTGATTGGATAGGCTGCATTCTCAGTGATGTCACCGGTCTGTAGTGAATGGACAGGCTGCATTATCAGTTATGTCACCGGTCTCTAGTGAATGGATAGGCTGCATGCTCAGTGATGTCACCGGTCTCTAGTGAACGGATAGGCTGCATTCTCAGTGATGTCACCGGTCTCTAGTGAATGGATAGGCTGCATTCTCAGTGATGTCACCAGTCTCTAGTGAATGGATAGGCTGCATTCTCAGTGATGTCACCGGCCCCTAGTGAATGGATAGGCTGCATTCTGCATGCATGGCTCTCTTCCTCTGCACAACGATGATACATTCTCTCCATCATTCCCGAGTGTAAATGGCTGACCTAGAAGAAGCATTTATTGAACCCGCGTAGATGCTTCCTTTGCACACACGGCTGTACACGACATTTGACATTTTATGCACATATAATAAGTTTGTATACGGCTAGAGTTACAGACACCTGTAGAGATATATGTGTGTAGGTGCCTACAGCATAACCCAGCTGAATATACAGGGCTAGCCTATGTTATGGTTTACTTCCGTAGAACGTTTGCTGATTACCGACTGTTCTTTGTCATTCTTTATCTGTCATGTAGCAGCTGGCTTCATATTACAATAAACCCACATGATTTAACACTGTCCTGTCTCTGACTGCTCTTGGTTCCATAATGTAAGGACTGGACTAGCACTCTTATACCTCCACACCGGCCCGGCAGGTGGAATAGACGTTCCCACTCTGGAAAAGGTATTGTTATTATGGAGGTATTTATCATTTGCTGCCTATTTCAGCTCGGCATTTCCAGTACTTATCCCGGCAAATCAGGTTTGAAAAATATAACCTTCCATATTGTTTCTCTTGGTGTCCCCAGACATCTGTAAGGTGCTGCCAAAAGTCCCACCAGCTTAGATTTACTACTTCTGGGCGGCTTCACTGCCATCCTCATAGATATGCCACTTCTCTAAACCAGGGTTGGGCAACCTCGGCACTCCATTTGTTGTGGAACTACAAGTCCCATGAGGCATTGCAAGACTTTGACAGCTACAGGCATGGCTTCCAGAGGCAGAGGCATGATGGAATTTGTAGCTTCACCACAGCTGGAGTGCCAAGGCTGCCTACCCGTGTACCCCTTCCCCCCTTCCAGCCCAATCAGGAATGCCAGTTGGAGGGGGGCATTACTTGCCCCTTTTAGACTCGCATTTGTGGGGCATGGAATGTGCCCATTGTGTCTCATTGAGGCGGGAGGTGGTGTGTGTAGGTCATAGTTTTGAGCAGGCTTGGGTGGACTGAGGTGGACTGGGTTCACACCAAGCCCAAGCTCAGCATAGCTTCTCGGCCTTTTGGCTCAGATCAAGTGTAGTATCTGTTCTTATCAGTTGCTGGGGAAGAACGACACCTCCTCTGGTCTGGGGAGAGGTTGTCTAGTATTCTATTGCATCCTGGCATAATAGGTTCTGAGTACTGGAGGAGGTTGCGGACGCCTTGCTAACAACTCTTCGTTAATGGGTGCGCTTGGCAGTCGGACCTCTGTAAGGTGCTCAGACTCCTGATAAAGAATGGATACGAAGCTTGGTCGAGGCTGGAGGGTTGGGAGGCGGCAGAGCCCGTGGTGTTGTGCCCCCTGGGGGTGGCGTCCCAGGGGTGCTCAGAGAGTCGCTGGGGTCCGGGACCTACCCACTTTGACTCACTGGTCACTCGGTCACACACCACATTGCATTTTCTGCACAACGCCTCTTGGACAGGCCTTATGGCTAGTCCGGGGCAATATTTTTGCACTCCGGCCCCTAAGGTCTGTCAGCGTGGTGCACTGGCACTTTAGTATTATTTATTGCACTCTATTCACGATTGCACGATTGGCTTTTTTTCAAAGCATTGACCCACAGATGCAGCGGGTGCAGGTTCCTTCGGGGCCTTTTCCTGATGTGGGGAGGAGATTCTGTGCCCTCATATAGGGTTCTCTGGGTCCTCTCTCTTCGGGAGAGCCCCCTACCTAGTACTGTGAGGGACCTGTTTTGGCAGGTCCCCAATGGATCGGGGTCCACCGGCCTTCGGGTTGGTGGACCAACAGTCTCAACCCCTGTCAGGAGCCTTGCACCCCGGGGGTCGGGAAAGTAGGTCCCGTCTTTTGAAGGACCAAGCACCCTTGTGCACGTTTTTGCGTGCTGTGATTTCACGGTTCACTTTTTTTGTTCACAGGGGAAAGTTTGTTTTTGATGCACGTCCACGGGCTCTTAAAAAAAAAGCTGGTCATCAGTGCTAGGTGGCATGCAAAGCTCTGGCTCCTGCAGACTCTTCCTCCCAGTCCCGGTACATACAGACTTTCACCTAAGGGTCAGGAGGAAGTATGAATGGTGACCCTTGTGTACTCCATTGAGATCTACAGTGGCAGAGGGGGACCTGTGGTCTCCCCATTCAGATCCTGTCAAAGGATGACATGGCCGTGCAGGCGGAGCCACGCTCACCCCTGCCGAATTCAGATAATGACAGAGAGAAGAACCTGGCTCTTCACGTAAGTGAGGGGGGGGAGGGTTTGAGGGTATTTTAATCAATGTAATATATATATATATATACGGTATGTCCTATAATGAATGAAATGTGGATACCCACATGCTGTATATTACAGTATAGACATGTCATGACTATTAGGGGTATACAATATAATCTAGTGTCCGTGCCATGTCTATGAGGGGTATACAATATAATCTAGTGTCCGTGCCATGTCTATTTGGGGTATACAATATATTCTAGTGTCCGTGCCATGTCTATGAGGGGTATACAATATAATCTAGTGTCCGTGCCATGTCTATGAGGGGTATACAATATAATCTAGTGTCCGTGCCATGTCTATGAGGGGTAAACAATATATTCTAGTGTCCGTGCCATGTCTATGAGGGGTATACAATATAATCTAGTGTCCGTGCCATGTCTATGAGGGGTATACAATATATTCTAGTGTCCGTGCCATGTCTATGAGGGGTAAACAATATATTCTAGTGTCCGTGCCATGTCTTTGAGGGGTAAACAATATATTCTAGTGTCCGTGCCATGTCTTTGAGGGGTATACAATATATTCTAGTGTCCGTGCCATGTCTTTGAGGGGTATACAATATAATCTAGTGTCCGTGCCATGTCTATGAGGGGTATACAATATAATCTAGTGTCCGTGCCATGTCTATGAGTGGTATACAATATAATCTAGTGTCCGTGCCATGTCTATGAGGGGTAAACAATATATTCTAGTGTCCGTGCCATGTCTTTGAGGGGTAAACAATATATTCTAGTGTCCGTGCCATGTCTTTGAGGGGTATACAATATATTCTAGTGTCCGTGCCATGTCTTTGAGGGGTATACAATATATTCTAGTGTCCGTGCCATGTCTATGAGGGGTATACATTATATACAATAAAGCTCTCCTTTATATGTGTATCTGATATATGTGGCTGTGATCTTTATACTTTGACAGTTCTGGGTTTCATTGTACAATATAACAATATCATGTAGTCGCCATAGATCAGACATGGGGATTATCACAGACTCATTCTGAACTCATGTGGCCATATCATGTCTATAACGAGACATTACACAACCCGCTTCTGTCACATAGATTACAGATTAGTATCTCGGTCACCATGGTGACTGTCCCTAACAAGCACGCTGAGAGACGCTGGGAACCGCGGGTGCTGCCGGGAGTTGTAGTCCGGCGTATAATGTCGCGCTGTGTGTGGAGCTGGAGGAGGCGCCAGCTCGGAACTACAATTCACGTCATCCATAGCGTCTCCTGCTAGTGTCACTCCCGGAAATGGCGGATGATGGAAAGGAGGCTGAGAGGTGAGATGAAGGGAACCCGGGACTTGGGGGGGAGGTTACTATGGAAACCGGTTAGTGAGCCTGGTGGTTTCTATGGCAGCCTGCTGGTTGCTCTATGGAGATAGGTGCAGCCGGCCTGTGTGCTGGGGCCTGCTGTGTCCTTCCTCTCAGGGTAGGCTATAGCATGCTGGCCAGCTAATAAACGTGGTGCCCTCATCACCATAACAACCACATCCTGCCCATAATGATAGGACGGCCTAATTACTGCCATTGTTACTTCATAAGGGACATTAAACACTTAGTGGCCAGAAAAATGGAAACCCCTTCGAGGCATAGCATTGGACCACCCTAGGTCCTGGTCACAATTCACATTGCTTTGTTGCTTTATACGGGTTCTGTAGCCTTACATTGGAGGTCAGTGGGAAGAATGTCCCTTACATTTGGGCTTTTTTTTTGGGGGGGGGGGGGGGTCGGGTTTATTAC